ATCACTCCGGTGAACAGCCTTTCTCCATCCTCCTTGGAACCTTCCTTCAGGAAGTTGAAGGCTGCTATCAAATCCCCCCTCACTCTTCTCTTCTGCAGACTAAACAGACCCAACTCCCTCAGCCTCTCCTTTTAGATCATATGCTCCAGCCCCATAATCATTTTGGTTGCCCTCCGCTGGACCCTGTCTAATGCATCCACATTCTTTTTGTAGTGGGAGGCCCAGAACTGGACACAATACTCCAGATGTGGCCTCACAAGAGCCGAATAAAGGGGAATAATCATGTCTCTGGATCTGCTGGCAACGCTCCTCTTAATGCAACTTAATATTGCCATTAACCTTCTTGGCTACAAGGGCACACTATTGACTCATATCCAGCTTCTCATCCACTGTAATGTCCAGGTCCTTTTCTGCAGAACTACTACTTAGCTGGTTGGTCCCCAGCCTATAACAATGCTTGGGAATCTTCCATCACAAGTGCAGGACTCTGCACTTGTCCTTGTTGAACCTCATCAGATTTCTTGTGGCCCAATCTTCCAAATAGTTTAAGACACTCTAGATCCTATCTACCTCTCCCCCTAGCTTAGTGTCATCTGCAAACCTGCTGAGAGTGCAATCCATCCCCTCATCCAGGTCATTAATAAAGATCTTGAACAAAACCAGTCCTAGAACTGAACCTTGGGGCACTCCACTAGAAATCAACCTCCATCCTGACAATGAGCCATTGATCACTACTCGCTGAGTCCAACCTTCTAACCAGCTTTCTATCCATCTTACCGTCCATTAATCCAATCCACATTCCCTTAACTTGCTGGCAAGAATATTGTGGGAGACCGTAACAAAAGCCTTGCTAAAGTCAAGGTATATCACATCCACTGACTTTCCCATGTCTACAGAGCTAGTTACCTCATCATAGAAACTAATCAGATTGGTCAGGCATGACTTGCCCTTTGTGAATTCATGCTGACTATTCTTGATCACTTTCCCCTCTTCCAAGTGCCTCAAAATGGATTCCTTAAGGATCCCTTCCACGATTTTTCCAGGGACTGAGGAAAACTGAGTGGCTTATAGTTCCCTGGATCGTCCTTCTTCCCTTTTTTTGAAGATGGGCATTATATTTGCCTTTTTCCAGTCATCAGGGATCTCTCCCGATCCCCACTACTTTTCAAAGATAATGGCCAAAGATTCTGGCAATGACATCTGCCAACTCCCACAGTAACCTTGGATGTATTAAGTCCGGACCCATGGATTTATGTATGTTTATAGCTTTTCTAGATACTGCCTAACGTGTTCTTTCCCCACCAAGGGCTGTCCACCTTCATCTATCCCATCTTGAGTCACTTAGAGCATTAGTCCGGGAGCCCTCTTTGTCCGTGAATACAGAGGCAAAGAAAGCATTGAGTGCTTCAACTTTCCCCACGTCATCTGTCACTAGATTACCTCCTTCATCCAGTAGATGCCCTATACCCTCTCTGATCACCTTCTTCTTACTAATATGCATGTAGAAACCTTTCTTATTATCCTTCACTTTCCTGATAACCCTCCGGCATTCTCGACCTCTACATTTATACCCGTCCCTGGTCATTTGTCCAAGTTTCCACTTTTTGTAAGCTCCCTTTTTGTGGTTAAGTTCACCAAGGATTTCCCCTGTAAGCCAATCTGGTCTCCTACCAGGTTTGCTTCTCTTGGTACGCATTGGTATGGTTTCTTTCTGTGCCTTCAATAAGGCTTCTTTAAAATACTACCAGCTCTCCTGGACTCCTTTCCCCTTCATGTTAGCATCCCAGGGGATTCTGCCCATCAGGTCTCTGAGGGAGTCAAAGTCTGCTTTTCTGAAGTCCAAGGTGTGCATTTTACTACTCTCTTTTCTTCCTTTGGTCAGGATCCTGAAATCTACCAACTCATGATCACTGCTTCCGAGGTTTTTACCCACCTCTACTTCTCCCATTAGTTCCTCCCTGTTTGTGAGCAGAAGGTCAAGCTGTGCACAGCCTCTGGTCGGTTCCTTCAGCAGTTAGACCAAGAAGTTAGCTTTTGCAGACTGTTGTGGATATCTGGATTGCCTGTGTACTGCCATATTGGTCTCCCAACAGATGTCAGGGTGATTAAAGTCCCCTACGAGAACCAGGGCCTGCAATCTGGAAGCTTCTCTCAGTTGTCTAAAGAAAGCCTCATCTACCTCATCCACCTGATTCGGCGGCCTGTAGTAGACACCAACCGTAACATCACTGCTGTTGTCTGCACCTCTAATCTTAACCCACAGACTTTCAATAGGCTTTTCTCCCTCTATATACTGGAGTTCTGAGCAATCATAGTGCTCTCTTACATATAGTGCAACTCCTCCTTCTTTTCTCCCCTGCCTGTTCTTCCTGAACAGTTTATACCCTACATGACGGCGTTCCAGTCATGCGAGTCATCCCACCAAGTCTCTGTTATCCCAATTAAATCATATTTCTTGGACTGGGCCAGGGCTTCCAGTTCTTCCTGTTTGTTACCCAGGTTTCTTGCATTGGTGTACTAACACCTCAGATAACCAGTTAATCTCCGTACCTTCTCCATTCAAATCAGGGGTCCTCCTTTGCTGCTCATTCCTCTTTGCATTTCTTCCCAGTATCCGACTTTCTTACTCCCCTCAGGGTTTTGGTCACTGTCCCCCAATGAACCTAGTTTAAAGCCCTCCTCACTAGGCTTGCAAGCCTGCCCGCGAAGATGCTCCTTCCTCTCTTCATTAGGTGGATCCCATCTCTTCCTAACAATCCTTGTGCCTGGAACAGAGTCCCATGGTCGAAGAAACCAAAGCCCTCTCTCCGACACCACCTGTGCAACCATGCATTTACTTCCTCAATTAAACGATCCCTGCTCAGTCCTTTCCCTTCAACAGGGAGGATGGACAAGAACACCACTTGAGCTCCGAATTCTTTGATCCTTCTTCCCAGTGCTACGTAATCTGTAGTAACCCGTTCAAGGTCATTCTTGGCCGTATTGTTAGTTCTCACATGGAGAACTCAGTTTGGGACAACCCATTACAGTGAACACTGGGTAGAGTGAATGGCGGCTCACAGCTGTGCTCACCCCCACCCAAGTGGACCATGCTGCCCGTGGGACTCCCTCCACTTTAGCTTCACCTGTGAGGGAGGCAGGTGACACAGAAAAACCCTTTGTGGTGTGGCTGCTGCTTCATGCCCACTTTTTTTTCACATTGCACTCACTGACAGCATGGGCTGAAGCCAGGCCGGACTTATGGCTCCTCTCTTCAGCACTCCGAGAGAACTTGGATCGCTGCAGAGAGGAGCCATGAGTCTGGCCTGTCCGCAGCCCACACTGTCAGTGGGTTCAGTGTGGAAAAGCCATGGGCATGGAGTAACAGCCACACCACAAAGGGTTTTGTGTGTCACCTGCCTCCCTCACAGGGGAAGCTGAAGTGGAGGGAGTCCCACGGGCAGCATGGTCCACTCGGGTGGGGGTGAGCACAGCAGCGGGACGCACCAAGCTCCCTGCTTGCCATGCTGGCGGTTTCCTCACTCCTACCCCTCTTTGCAGCAGGTAAAAGGCTCTGGCACCACCTCTCTCTATATAAAAAGTTTTTTCTGACGGACGACAGAATTTTCCTGCTGGGCAACAAAATGACATCATCATGTCAACAGCATCAACAGGCTCTCTCAAAGAAGCAAAAATGGCCAGAGAGAGGGGGGTTGGTGAGCGTAGTGAGCAGGAAGTTAAGTCCCCTAGTATAAGTAAACATATATTATTTTTTCTGAAAACAAACTTGGTTTCTGGTTTTTGTGCTTCATCACCAGCAGTAAATGATTCTTCAGTTGCATCTTAATATCTTCTCAGTTTCTTGAGGTCCACCACTTGTGGTCCTGATCCCAATGTATACCAAAGTCTCAGAGCACATGTGGTAGCTCTTGTGTCAATATTGAGAGGCATTGCTAATACTTCATTGTACAATGAAGTGAGTGCTGACAATTCTTAAACACACTGAAGTCTAATTCTTCTTCTAGATGCTTTCTTTTTATGCTGGAGGACTTGCTGTTCAATCCTGCATGATCTTACGCTTCACCACCTTTGGGGAGGTGGTTGAGAAGACAGAGTTTGACAATTCCACATGCATGTGGCTACCATCGCCCTGGCAGATTCCATTCTGAATTCCAGCATTCTATTGAGATGACACTTGTCATAGTTATGAATGATCTTTGGTTAATCTGAGGTTAACTGGCATTTATTCTCATGTTGGACCTCTCAGTAGCCTGTGAATCCATTAACCATGGATTGCTGCTTCAGTTGACTGAGTGATACTGATATTCTGCCAGGAACTACCCTCCAATGATTCCTTTTATACCTGGAAAACACACATCAGTGCACCCATCCATCCTTCCTGTATTTCTCTCCCTTTCATTCCTTCCATTTTCAGTATTTTTTTACCTTCCTTCTTTGTCCTCCTATTCCTAGACTTCTGTTACATCATCTCTTTGCCCGCTCATCCTATTTCCAAACTTATATTTTAAAAATAAAATTTTTTTTTTAAAAATGTGCAGTTGATATCACATTGCCACTAACCACTGATTACAGCTAGCATGCTCAATTCCTTTTCCTTCACTACCCTCTATTTGAGTTCCAGATTTGAAATTTAGATGCTACCAGCTATTTGATAAGCTCTTGGAGTTATGCACTGATGGTCTCAGATTTCTGGTGGACAGCAGCTCAAACACTCAGGGAGAGGCAATCTCTTAAGTTGTTTGAGCTAATTCCACTGAGAGTTTGAATGTGAGGATGGAGACCTTAAATTGAGCTGTCAAAATGACAAGCCAGCCGAGTGATTGTAGCAGCACAATGAGTTGCACATAGCAACCTGACCTGCTGAGCATTCTGTAACAGGTGAAGGTGTAAAAATGATGAGGAGTCCTATGGCACCTTATAGACTAACAGATTTATTGGAGCATAAGCTTTCGTGGGCAAAGACCCACTTCGTCAGATCCAAAAGGTGTAGCAGTCTGTTTGAATTTCCTCTGTCCTTTGCAAATACTGTAAATTCTCAACAATGATGTTTCATTAATGGTGTATTTTGCAGTGAATTTTGTAAATGTTAAATACCATGATATAGCAAAGTACTACTAACAACTTCTCGTTGCAGGCTCTGGGTTTGTTAGCCAAGCTGTACATCCGTTCCTGTCTGGTATCTGCATTTTCAGTCTGATGTCACTCAGTCCATTATTTGCCGTTACCTCCCCCTTCATTGTATTAGCTGTGAGAAACAAAGAGAAGCTTATCATAGGGACAAATAGTAGTACAAGGATAAGAAGAGATCAACATATAACAACTGTACAGTACACTTTCTAAATCAACATTTTGGTTTTAAAAAAATCAGTGCTCTACTGATTGCCAAGTTTCTTTTTATAACCATTACTATTTTAACAGTACACTCTGACACACATAACGGTCATGGACAGGACTGATATCATGTTGTTTTAAAACTGTCATATAGAGGGAAATAATTCAGTGTGATGTCTTTTGTTTATAGACTGTGCTATGTATTGAGATGGTGTTATAACCTCCTACCTATATCCAGCTACTTCTTTATCTTCTCACTTACAAACTGTTGCAATATTCCAAGTCTTGCAATATTTTTACCTTATATGCAGAATTTTTCTGTAGGTGGGATGAATATCCTCTCTTCACATATTGGAGTCACTAGGAGCTGTAATAACTATCAACACATAGTTTAGGAGCTTAAATGTGGGTTTAGCACCTAACTTTAGGGACTCACGTTTGGAAAATGGAGCCCAATATTGAAATAGCATTTAAACAAAGAACATAAATTTGGTCTGATGACTGTTTAATATTTTTTGTTATTGTTAACATCTTTTTAATTTGAATGACTAACATTTCTTTCTCCAAAACAATAGTCACCATTGTCCATCCATTAATTGTTATAGTTAACAATGTACATTCTTTGAAATATTTAGCGGATCTTCCAGCCAAACTAAGAAATAATAGAACTAACACTCCTGGCATTTAAGATAATGAGCATAACAATCTTTAGTAAAAGAAAAAGTTTTCAAACTTGTTCCCTTGTATAAATAAATAAGTTTAGTTCTTTTAAAAAAAATCCTTTGCAGAACACCTTTGAAGGGGGAGAACTTTTTGGCTGTGTCTACACTGGGCCACTTATTCCGGAAAATCAGCCGCTTTTCCGGAATAAGCTGCGAGCTGTCTACACTGGCCCTTGAATTTCCGGAAAAGCAACGATGCTCTACTGTACAAAATCAGCCACTATTCCAGAAAAACTATTCTGCTCCCGCTAGGGCATAAGTCCTTATTCCGGAACATTGTTCCAGAAAAGGGCCAGTGTAGACAGCCCAGTAGTCTTTTCTGGAAAAAAGCCCCGATTGCGAAAATGGCAATCGGGGCTCTTTTCCGGAAAAGCGCATCTACATTGGCCACAGACGCTTTTCCGGAAATGCAGCCTACCAATGTAGATGCTCCTTTTCCAGAAAAACTGAAAACGGAATAGTATTCCGTTTTAAGCATTTCCGGAAATTCATGCCAGTGTAGACACAGCCTTTTTGTTTCACTTTCCTCTTTCATTCATTCACCCCTTGTCTTCAACAGTGTCCTATTTCTGCAGACTGATGTTTTTCTATAGGTGTTTCCTTTGTGCTGTTGTGTCTTGCATTCTGTTCTGTGAGTAGGAAAGAAACAATAGAAGCAAATAAAAAGTAGTGCTGGCCAACACAGAACATATTTAACAAGATGGGACATGAGTACACGAGGACAGAAGAGTAGCTAACACCCTTACTCAAAAGGGGAAATCATACCAGCACTATGAGAAAAGTAGTCATTTTAGGGGCTGTAAAATATGCTTATCTGAAGTCAATGCTCATAGCTGCCTGGTGCAGCTTTTCTTAATGGATCAACCTGAAAAAAAACTTAAATCCTAAATTCCTTTTCTACCTACATTATTATTAAGGATAAATAAACTCATTTTATCTAACTAACTAGCTCATACATGTAACTTATCTGTTTTCTTTTCTGTGTTGGACAGGCTGGGAAGAGGGAAAGGGTAGAGAAAATAAATGAAAATCTATGGGTAAAATAACAAAATCAAGGGAGGCAGTGACAGAAACTGAGAGGGAGAGGGAGTGAGTAGTATGGGGGGAAGGCGAATTGAACAAAAAATACATGGTCTAGAAATCACATTTACTTTAGGACACAACTTAGCTTAAGTTTTTACACGTGGTTCTCCTTTTCTTGTCCATGTATCATGTAGGCTCACAATCTCTTCTTTAGTAATAGAGAGGTAGCCATGTTAGTCTGATCTTTCAAAAACAAAAAGAAAAACTATGTAGCACTTTAAAGACTAACAAGATGGTTTAATAGGTGATGAGTTTTTGTGGGCCAGACCCACTTCCTCAGATTGGCCAATTCTCTTCCAGAATATGATCTGAGGAAGTGGATCTGGCCCACAAAAGCTCATCACCTATTAAACCATCTTGTTAGTCTTTAAAGTGCTACATAGCTTTTCCTTTTGTTTTTGCAATCTTTTCTTTAATACAGCTAAGGAAAAAATTAAAATATAGGGGAAAGATTTGCAAATTCAAACTAGTTTTGTACATCTCAGTTTGACAGATCCTAAAACCCAAAATTGTGTGGGATTGAGTACAGTATTCTATAACTATGGAATCTGACATTACTTTTCATATGTGAGGAATTCTAAAGTACTTTAGATGTATTACACTAGATAGCATACTGATAAAGGAGTGATGTGTGGCAAACAAAGCAGTCATTATACTCACAAAATTGTATTCTCTCAGTTTTGAATAGAACATTTTTTTCAGGAGAAAAAATATTCGCTGATGTTATCCACCACTCTTTTTTAAAAAAATTTAAAAAAAAAAACAAAAACCAGGGACTGTGCATAGAAACCATCCCAAGCAGATTGTTTTTGTGATAGGGTGCTAGCAAGAAAATAGATAATATCTTGTTTGTTACTAACAATTGTGTTTTAGTTTTGCTTGATCCCAATTGTTTCCTAAGGATTTCCAACCTACTTATTTAGTTTTGGATTACTTCTCTCAGGACATTAGAGTGATTCCCCACCTCCAGTCTCTTTTTGCTTCCTATCAATTGTTTTGCAGCCTTTATTTTTTAAATGTTTTCCCCTCTTTTCTTCTAAGTGTATAGCCACAAAATTAAAACAGTCTTTCCTTCAAAGAGCTTATAGTCTAAGACCTCAATCACCTATGATCTCATGGGAGCACAGCCCCACTGAAACTGATTCACACATATAAAGTAAATATAATGGTAACTGCCTATCTAGCTGTTAGTGTTGTTTTACTGTAGTCTGACTTCTATAAATAACTGATGCTGCTCAACTATACAATATAATTATTAAGCTCAAAGGATCGCAGAGTAAAGAATCCAGAGTTCCTGGGTACCAATTCCCCTGCTCAGTCTATTAAATATTCATGAAAACCATCACCAGTTTGCACTTTATAAAGACTGCATTCGCACATGAGGAACAACCAACAATTTACAAAAGCCAGAAAGAATATACATTTTCTACACAATTTCCAGTGATATTCAAGGTACTAAAAAGTATTACTAATGCCAACAAACAGCCCAAATATTGAGGTTTTAGAGCAAGATATTTGAGATTTAATATTTCAAATAATAATAAAATTAGAACAGAGTCAAGAGTCAAATATCCCTACTTCTCACACTATCTGGCTTCCACAAACAAATCTCCTTTGGTAAAGAAATACTAAAGAAACTAATTTGGATTGGTTTAAGTTGGATGAAGTTAGGATAGTGATCAAAAGTGGATGTATTAGCTGCAATAACTTGGCCTACAACCAGAAAATATTTGTATGATCAGGACTCTTATCTGATAATGAGTTTATTTTTATTTTAATTATTAACAGATATTGCATTTTTCCTATACAGAAACATCTCTATCATAGTCCTACAGTCTTAAAAATCATGATATTCAGAAAGAACTCTCACATTTTACCAATTATACTAAATAGTCCTAAAGGAACTGAACATAAACACTCACAGGAACTATTAATACATACAGGACTATGTAGCACTTTAAAGACTAACAAGATGGTTTATTAGATGATGAGCTTTCATGGGCCAGACCCTCCACTATTTGATCTGAGGAAGTGGGTCTGGCCCATGAAAGCTCATCATCTAATAAACCATCTTGTTAGTCTTTAAAGTGCTACATAGTCCTGTATGTATTAATAGTTCCTGTGAGTGTTTATGTTCAGTTCCTTTAGGACTATTTAGTATAATTGGTATACAAACAATGAAGAGTAAGGTGAGCAAAAATCTGGCATATAGTAAGCAAGCTCCACTTCTTGATATTTTGCCTAAATATTGCATCACCCACTGATCTCTCATGCAGTGTCTAGGTTAATCAGAGACAGTTGGGATTAAAGTTTCTCTTTAAAAATAAAATTGGAGTGGAACAAACAAAGCAAACTTTCCTCTATGATTTTCCAATCTTAACATGCATTGTTAGAGTATCTGAAAGTGAAATTGAATAGAAGCAAAAGTGAAATGTATGATTCTTTTTATTTTCAAAGGTGAAAACTTAAAAATGTGTTTGTGTATGACAGAGATAGATTATAAGTGTTTTAATATGCCTTCCATAACTATTTTGCATTTTAAACATGAAAAAATTAATACAGTAAAACTTCATTTCTGCTGTTATTGACATCAATAGGAATTTTGAAATTGACCTCAGTTGGAGTGCCTAGGCTCACTATGTACAACATTTATTTTGTGCAAGTTATAGTTATACAGGAACAGCATAGAGATGTAAATGAGTAGTTCAATGAAGACTAAGCTTATTGGGCAGTCAAGTTGAGCACTCGACTGCTCGCTTTCCCCCCTTGCAGCCTCTGTATGTGACATGGGGAGGGGAGACTTAAGCTGGCTCCTCCCAGCACCAGCTCCTAAGCTGCCCTTCCCTGCTGCATCTATCAGAGGCATTGGGGGTAGGGGAGGTTGCTACAAAGCAGCCTCTGCCTATGGTGGGCCAAGGCTGCTCTGGCAGCAGCTCCTGTCTGTGGGAATCCCAGTGGGGAGCTGCCCTCCCCCGGTGCGGACAGGGGCTGCTGCCGGAAATGCCTCTGTATGTGGCAACTGGGGCTGGTCATGAACAAGGGCGCTGCTGGAGCAGCCCCTGCCTGTGGCCAGCTTGGGCTTCTGCGAACAGAGGCTACTAGACCCAGCTCAAGCCAAGACCAATCAGTCCTGGCTCCTGCCAGTCTGGAACTGCACAGCCACAGCATTTTAAATGTAGTAAGAGCCCAGAGGCTCTTACTACACTTAAAATGCAGAGCCACAGCAGTCTGGAGCCTAACCCAGCCAGTTCCAGGAAAGCTGTTAAAATTAAAACAAACTCATTTTTTGCATCACACAACCGAGCAGCCAAACTCCTAGTTCATTCCTCCATGGGTGGGCAACCAAGTCCCAGGCTGGGGATTCAGGGAGAACTGCTGTAACTGCTGGACAGCTTGCCATTTGGCACCCATCTTGGGGCAACCCTTATCCTCCACCTGCAGTGGACCCACGGTCTCACAGTCTGATCCTGGTATAAGTCTTCATATTGGGCTGCCTTCGTGAGGCTGCCCGCTCCTGCCCTAATGACTGAGTTTGCTGACGGGCCACGCAGGCTGGCTGCATTAGGGAACACTGCCATCTCTTCGTATTTTCTAGCGATGCAGGTGCTGTATATCCATAATGGTGTGGTTCTTTCGCTCACCTCTGCCGTTTCCCCCACACTCCTGCCTTGCCACACGCCTCAGCCTGGCCACGGTGCAAGCCACCTTGCCTGGGCCCCTCCACAGCCGCTTCCCTTCCTCCACTTCGCCTTGCGCTCCAGGGGCCTGAGCCACCCTCCGCGTCGCCAACATGCGCTGTCAGCAGCAGCGGGAGGGAAGTCGAGCCCAACCCACAGAGCGAGAAGGGGCGGGGCGACACTTCATCAGGCCCCGGCTGATACTGAAAGTCACAATGGGATTGGCTGAGCTGGTGGAGGGTGGGAGGAGTTAAGGGAAGCTATTGCCTAGGTAACCTCCCTCCCTCTCACCTCAGCTGTAGGGCGTCCGCGCGCGCGCACTCTGGAGGCCTCGCGCTTTCATGTGAGTTGTTCGCAGGGGCTCCTGAGTCGCGGCCGCGCTGGCTGGAAGGCGGCGGCAGGAGGGCAGGGCTGGGTGCTCCTGCCTGTGCCGGGGCAGGTGAGTGACTGCGGGCGGAAAGGACTTTGTGATTGTCTGTGCGAGAGCGGCAGCGGCGCATGAGGGCCCCGCGCCCGGCCCCTCAGTCCGGGGATCGGGCTTGGGCTGCGGCTGGGGATGCCTGTCGGAGGGAAGCAGACCGGGCGCGGATCTAGCGCCGTGCGAAAGAGGGAAGTGGCTACAGCAGCGTCTCGCTGCCACACGGGGACGGATGTGGGGAGCGCGCGGGAAGTGCCCTCTCTGCCACTGGGGGAGAGCGGGAAGAGACCACCCCTCCGCCCCACTGGGAGTGATCCGCCCTCGCTGGTGGAGAGCGGAGTGAGTCCATCCTTCAGCCTCTGAGGGCGAGTGGGGGTGAAACCGCCCGTCTGGGGCCGACTCGTCACAAATGAAGCCTCCTTTCTCCTCCCCCCTCTTTTCGCAGGTCAAAGGCTGGTTTTCGATTCCTTCTCCAGCTGGTGCTCAGATCCCTTCTGCAGGGCAATGACTGCTCCTTTTTTGCCTGGGAGTGTGCAGGGGCGAGGAAAGGGGTATTTTTCAGCTTCTTAAAAAAATTGCAACACTGAAATTGCTCAACAGATCTCTGCCCTTTTCCTGGCACTGGAGAAATTTATCAATTGGGGTGAGAGGAGGTGGTATACAGGACTTTTCAGATGGCTTTGAATTATTCATTAAAATAGGAGGGAGAAGTTTGATCTGAGAGTGAGAAGGGGAAGAAACATATTTAGGAATAGTATTACTTAAAAGTTAATATCTGAAAGGTCTTTTGTAGTTTGTAGATCTACTTAAAACTTCACAAGTATTATTTAATTTTAAAGTTAGAGCCTGTGTTCTTTGTTGCAAAACATCAATATTTAAAAAAAACCAGAAAATAGCTGAGTATCCTTTTAGATACTGCATATGAAACAAACAAGTGGCATTCAGGCACCCCAAACTCTCTAAAATTAGTGGGGATGTTAGTGCCTCATCTACTCAATATTAGTAGTGCCTCATCTACTCAATATAACTATGCTATTAAAAAACTTACAACCCTGAGAGATTAAATTAAGTGGACCCAATCCTAGTGAAGATGCTTGCAGGTCTCTGAAAGAGTTGTCGTGTGTGTGTGTGTGTGTGTGTGTGTGTGTGTGTGTACACGTACGCATGCATACATCACAGTGATGTGAGGGGAAATACTTCCATCATTGTGGCAACATCTAAACTAAGTAGCATAGCTACAGCACCGCAGCTGTGCTGCTGTATGTAACATTTGTAGTGTAGACATACCCTTTGAAATGGGAGGGGAAATAGTGTTGTTCCTTTAAAATCTCTGAAACTTTGTGGACAACTTGAAATGCATGATGGTCTATTCAAAAGTTCCACTTTGATTTGTTGTTTATTTATATGGCCTAATATCTTTTATGCTTTAAAAAAGTCTTTGATGTAGCTTCTGCATATTTCTACTTTCTAGCTCTTTAGTGCTTTTGAGCTTCAGGCATCTTCAAGAAAAACAGTGCCTGTTGGGACCACTTGAGTGACCTGCTCTCCTCAGCATCAAATGTTTTGAGCCAAATGTATAAGTGCTCATTGCAGTCATCAGCTGCTGCAGTTCCTTCCATTTTTTGGTCTTTAGCATGCATTAGGTATCTTTTCTTCATTTTCAGAGAATTTTTTTTCCAACCAAGAATCACTTGTTGCTTCCCTCTAGGGTGGCATAGATTTAGAAAGTTGGTAGTAGTTTCTGTGGCATTTAGATTCTGGAACCGTCAGCAACTTGACTCCAGGATGGCAAGGGAGGAAAAACAGGCTTAATAATCTTTATTTCATACCCTTTTTTCTTCTGGAGTCAGATGTATGTTGTAATGGAATACACCTTAAGTTCACATCTATATATTGTATGCTGTTGTAATTATCTTTGTACAAGGTATGCCATGTGAGGTACCATTTGAAAACTTGTAACTTGGTGATCAGTAGTATCAAGGTAAAATGTGTGTAGCAGCTTAATGCATAAAGTTGCAAATTTACCCGGTATGATAGCCAATATCTAACATCCCTAATTTTTTTAATAATTGAATAGTCGAGTAACCGCATTAATTCTTATCAGTTACTCAACTGCTGTATAATACCCAGGGGTGGGGCCAGCAGCCAGTGGAAGAAGTCACAGAGCTCTGTAATAAAGTGTACAGTGGAGTCATCAGGGATAGTATTTCTCATGGCCAGTAATCTGTCTTCATGTAGAATGTTGGTGTAAAGAGCTTCTACTTTCATGGTGACCAGAACAGTAATCTTCCTGAAAACACCAATGTTCTGTAGTTTCCTTGGGAGGTCGGTGGTGTGTTTGAAGATTGCTAAGACTGCTGGTAGCATAGGGTCTGAGGAGAGAGTCAATATAACCAGATAATCCTGCTGTAAGTGTGCCAGTGCTTGAGATGATGGGTTGTCCGGGTTTTCTAGGTTTGTGTATCTTGGGCAGTAGATAGAAAACTCCTGATTGAGGATTTGGAGGTGTGTTTGTATAGCTTTGGTCCTGAGTTGTAGCAGGAAGTTTCATAAGCAGATGGTTTAGGGTTTTTTTCGGTATGAGGGATCAGCGGAGAGGAGCCTATAGAATCTGGTATTAGTGAGTTGTCTGCAAGCCTTCTGTTCATGATGACTACAGTACCTCCTTTGTCAGCCTCTTCGACTATGCTGTTAGAATTGTTTTTAAGGCTGTGTATAGTATTGAGTTCTGCATGACTGAGGTTATATGTTGTTTGCTGACAATATCAGCCTGCACATGTTAATGGAAGCAATCAATGTAGAAGTCAAGTCTCTCGTTACAACTGTCAGGAGGGGTCAGAAATTGTTTAACATGTTCCCCAAGAAAATGGGTAGATGGTTCTGCTCTAATATTGGAGCATATCTAAGGATTCCAAAGAGGAAGAGTCCAAAGGAAAACTGCCATCTGAAAAAGAGTAGCTAGAAAGCATCTTGCATATGTGTACAGTGCTGATTTAGGTATATGAAATAGTCAGTTTCAAAGATTCAACAAACAGTAGTAAAAAGAGAGAAAGCTTACTTGTGGAGGTTTGCAATGTGTTTACTGCAGTCTTGGACCTCACTTTGTGGGATTAAGTACATAACTTTGAGGGAGTGTTGTGTATGGGATAAGCAATGAGTTCTTTCATGGTTTTTACCTGCAAGATTTGCTCTGATATTGCTTTAAAAAAGTGTGTAGGAGTCTTGTAGCAGGATTGAGCCATAATGTTGGTGGGGATTTTAATGCTTTTTGTGGGAAGATGAAGTGTGATTCTCTTGGGCTGTGATCATATGGAGTTCTGCACTAGTAGTCAAATACATTACTATAAAAAACTTATTTTTGTAGTACACAGGATGTGGAGGGAATGGGAGTGAAGAAAAGAGGGATATTTGTTTATTTGCATATAAAATAGGGGTTCTGATGCTAAGCTTGTTAGGATGGGGTAGTTAGTGTTTATTGGAATATAAAGTAGTAAATTCCATGAATTCCAAGCCCTTTGAGCTAGGGAGAAGAATGGTTTGAGAGTTTTGAAAAGAATTCCAACCGACAGCTGAAGCATTAATCTTTTTCCTAACATACATACAAAGTTTAAATAACAACATTAATTATTAAAATATGGAAAAAAAAGATTTATCAACTTGAGAATTACAGCCAGAAATGTTCTTTGCATAAAAGAAAGACCCTCTTGATTACTTTTTTGGTATCTCCCTCTTTTTAACAAAACTCTGGAAATACTCCTTAGTTAAAACAACTATAATCTGTGTATTCATTCACAATTCTTATCCTAATAATAATCCTTTGCATTTCTATACTTCCCACAATTAATGGATCATAGAGTATTTCAGATACTCCATGATTAAGCTTTGCCCTGGAAGGTCATAGCCATTTTACAGACTGAGAAAATTAGATGTTCAGAAGTTTATTTTGAGTTATGCAATATCAACTAACGTATGATTTTTTCAGACTTGTGGGTTCACCACATGTTTTTTAAGCTAACTTGCTTTTATACTGGCAATAATGGATAGTGTAATTGTGTTTTATGCCAAGGACGTGATGGATACAATGGCAATGTTTTAGTTTAGATAACTAGTACAATAACTGGAATATTTTTTGCTTTGACTAGGAGCTTTTACTAAGGACATGCCCTTTTAGGGAATGAAAATGTACTCTTTTATGAAGCACTACAAAAATTAACCCGAGAAAGAGAATCCTTTAACCTTGCATTTAAGCTGTTTGGATTTTTTTTAATGTTAGTGTATTAAATAGGAGTGTATTTTTGGTGCGAAGTTTATTCCATGAGTCTGTCTTCCTATTTTAGTTAACTGTTAGGTAAATTTCGTGAGAGAGTAGAGTTCCTGTCTTTGACTTTCCACTAGAACAAATAGTATAAAATATTTTAATAATGGTTTCTTGCATGTTTTGACACACAAAGCAAATTAAATGGTAGTTAAGGATGTGATAGCTGTTTAAACATGTACACTAACTGGTGATCTTGGGTTTATTGGTTAATCTTCATGGTTACTCCCGCCTCCCCTGCAGATGCTGCCTGTGTGTCAGAGGCAGCAGTGTGTGTAGGGCAGGGGGAAGCAGCAGATTGAATGGCAAGGAGATAGACCTACCTATGGAAGCCCAAGTCAGAACTGAGGTTCACTTGTCAAGCAACTTAGCCTTCTTATGTTGTTTGTTATGTTGACGAATAAGGATTTCTACTACAAGGGCAATTCATTTTAATCCTTTTTCAGGACAAGCATTTTGAAGCAAGAAAATAGCAGAGTAAGGTGTTTAAAGCAGAATTCAGATCTGGGTAGGTGTGCTGCAAGTTGACTTTAAAATAAACTAGTGTCCCTAAATGGAGAGTGCAGGAAGAGGGTTTTTTTTAATTCCTTTGTAGTTCACCTTTAAAATACAGACTGATTGTAACTTCTTTGGATTATAGGAGAGCCTGATTAAAGTAAAATGTTCAGTGAGATATATGCTGGTTGTAACCAGTTGCCCTTTTCTCCTTTCAGTGAAGCCTAGGGGGAAAAAAAAGTCTAGCAGATGTTCTGAGAAAACTTTGTGCTCTCCACATAGAAAGACACTGAACCCCCCTAATGTGCATAGTAAGAATCTTCTCTTGGGTTGGAATGAGGTTTCCAAAACAACACTGAAGGTGAATGATCTGATTGTTTCTGTATTCACCACAATCTTAGAAACAGACTAACTTAAGAGAAACCTAGAATTTGTGAATGGCATGGAAGTGGGGTCACAGGTAACAGTGCCTGGAGCACCAGTATTCTTTATGCAGAAGTAACAAATTACTACTAGAAATCGCTTTTTATTTGATAAAAATGAGTAAGTTGTTGCTAAAGGTTCAATGGGAGCACATTAAAAAGTGCCAAAATCAAGTTCAGATCCTATGGGGGTACAGGATCAGACACAGGAAGATGTATAACTAGGGCTATAAAATCCTGGTTAATCAGTTACCTGGTTAAACATTAGGTCAATATAAAGTTTAACCAGTTAAATTACTAAAGCGGAATCCGGGCTGAGAACCACTCCCATCCACCTGCCCTCAGCCCTGCACTGTGACTGGTTTTGCCAGGTAGGTTTGCGAGATAGTTTCAACAAAAATACCATACACGCTTGATATTACATCACAGTCTACATTACATCTTATTTAGAAATACTGGACACTTATATTTTCTCATTTATATTTTCTCAATTTGTTTCCCGAACAGAAAGCTCAAATACAGGACTGTCCAGTTCAAAACCGGACACCTGGCAACCCTATTGCCAGCTCCCCGCCTCTCTGTGGGGGTTGGAGCCAGGAGCTGGTGGTAGCCCCCAGCCCGTGCCTGCAGTTAAGTTCAGGTTCCCCACAGGCAGAGGCTGATCAGGCATCTGGAGCAGAGCAGCCTCTGTCTGTGGGGAGCCTGGGCCTGCCATAGGCAAGGGCTTTTGTGGTGAGGATTGGGAGCTGGCACTTCAGGTATTGTTACCTGTGACCCCACTTCTATGCCATTTCACTTGTTAGTGTGTGCTCAGATTCTTCTTTCTCAATCACAGCAGTCAATCAGTGACCAGCTGCCCTTTTGTATTTCCCATCAATATCCAAAGCAATGCCTAACAATGATAGGATTAAGTATTGATGCTTCTGCTGAAGTATTAGCAGTGAAATAGTTATTGGTATTAATTTGTACTTTAACAGAGATAAAACCATGCTGATGGATAGCAGTAGTTCATTTTTCTGAAGTGTTTCATGCTGTTAGATTCAGGTATACACAACTTCACCTTTAGCACACATTTGGAAAGTTATTTTAACAACCATAATGGTTACAGATTCTTTTTTTTACGTAAGGCTTGATTACTAAAGTGTAGTTAGTAGCAACTTCACAAAAAAGGGTAATTATAGTCATTTTAGTGATCAAATAATCAAACTATTTGATCTTGCTGTTCAACTCTTCTAATATGTGTTTATGAATATCAAATCTGCACAACAAAAAGAAATTAGGGAACTAAATGTACAGTATGTTTGCTGAAACATGATGGGGAAGCGAAAATCACTGTTTGGAAAAAAATTAATAATCTATACTATCTAGAAGAGATTTCAGGGAACAGAAAGTAGGAATAGCTTCATTTTGGAAAAAAAAAAAGGTAGCAAGTAGTATAAAATATTTGCAGAACTACAGATGAAGTGAGTAGTCTGGGGCAGGCTCTCTGATGCAGCATTTAAAACCTAATCCAAAATTCACTGATCTAATAATATACAGAAACTCTTGATGACTGCTGTAGGCTTTGGATTGGGCCCCTATTGAAAGAACTGCAGTAAAGTCAACCTCCCCTTCAAAAGTCTGCAAAGTAGCAGTGATAAGAGATGTATTGGAGGTATATTGAGCAATAAGTATGTCCACATGACAAAAAAGTACTTCCTTTTAAAATGTGAAAAAAGGAACTACAAGAGGGAGCAATTCTTGCCTGACTTCAGTGTGTTATGGCTAGAAAAGTGACTGTTAAAATATTGGTTTGCCTCACATGTATTCAGTCATACATTTTGTTAGTTTTAGTGACAAATTTGAGGTTTTAAACTGTAGTGCCAATAAAGCTCTGAGAATGAGCAGGATTCTTCTCTGAATTAAGTCAAGCCCTAGCATTTGCTAGTGTTTCATTTGTAGCATCTTTATTGTTAGTGAACATAATTCCATATTTTTAAGTACAAAATACTGCATTCAGAAACAGAACAAATGTAATATTTTAAACCTTATAAGTCTAAGTCCTACTTCTTGATCAGCAAAATCTGACAAATCTTTACATTTACATTCTTGTATTTCAATGTTACCTGAATGTGAGAACAGATGTCTATATTGCACTTTTGCAGCTGATATTGCAAGGTATTTATGTGCTAGATACTTTAAACGTTCTTATGCCTCTTCATGCTTCAGCTCCCATTCCAGATGTGATGGGTTCTGCTCAATAACAATCTAAAGCAGTGTGGACCAATGCATGTTCATTTTCATCATTTGAGTTTTATAGGTTGGGTCTAGTGCTTTCACTAACTTCAGTAATTTCACATTGGTACCTTCTTTGCATTTTTCAAATCTGTAGTGAAAGGGTTCTTAAATTAAACAGCATGTGCTGGATCATCATCTGAGAGCGATGAAATATATGGCAGAATGCAGATAAAATAAGAGCAGGAGTTCTTCCCAAGTATTCAGTCACATTTAATTACTGCCTTATTTTTTTTAACAAGCATCATCAGCATTGAAGCACTTCCTCTGGAATAGTGGCCAAAACATGAAGAGGCTTTATGAATGTTTATCATATCTGGTACATAAGGATGTTAAAACAGTTAACTTGTTAAATGACTTTTTTAACGTAGGGCCCTGTTTTAACATCCTTAACTTGTTAAATGACTTTTTTAACGTAGGGCCTTGTGTCCAGCTGTAGCTGTAGGGACCTGCTTCCTGGTCCATCTATCCCTCCATGGCTGAGGATGCTCTAGCCTGGAGTGGCTGCTCATGGCTGGAGTTAATAGACAAGGGCCAATTAACTGGTAAGCATAACAGTAAGCCTTATGATGACCACTATGCTTACTAGTTAACATCCCAATACCTTCTAAGGCTGGCTACAGAAGTGCCATATGAATAGCTATTCTCACTTTCAGGTGACACTGTAAACAAGTGGGCAGCATTATCTCCCAGAAATGTAAATAAATGTATTTGTCTGAATGATTGTCTGAACAAGAAGTAGAACTGAGTGGACTTGCAGGTGCTAAAGTTTTACGTTGTTTTGTTTTTGAACGCAGTTATGTAACAACAAACATCTGTAGGTTGCACTTTCACGATAAAGTATTAGATTACTTTTAGACATGGATTTTACAGAGCAAATATTATTGTACACTTTGTTTTCTGTTGAAATTGAAATGGTCTACATTCAAATGCATCAAACATCCAAATTGGTATTCTATTTTTAAGTGTGATTAATCACAATTTTTTTAATTGTGATTTTTAAAAATGTTTTTAGTTAACTTTGGTTGACAGTTCTAATTTGTTTCTTCCTTTCTCTTGTGAATTTGTTTGAATGGTTTGGAACGCCTAGATACTGTTGAAATGAGTTTGTGATGGAATGATTATTTTTCTTTATGCTTGTGATAGAAACATCAGCATACTTTAGTATGTAAGGAGCTGAATTTCAATAAATGGAATTTATTAGTTGCTAAAATTACATGATTTCCTGAAACTTCTGCACTTTTTAGATGTTTTATTTTGGTTTCAGAGTAGTTTAGTATGTCCATATTTAATTTTTGTTCTCTTATAGATTTAACTTTCACAATAGCGTAATAAGCGGGAGAAGGAATTGTAATGATGTGACAACTGCTCTTACTCTCCTGGCAAATGTTCTAGTTGTGAATTCTTGTAGTCTGTTGGATTGCTGCAGAACCTGTTTGTGAAAGCTCTGCTGTAGCCTGATAAAAGGGCTTTTGTAGTTTTAAAGTTTGTTGGTGCAATAAAAAGCTAATGTGTAATAAAACTTACCTGCTGGCCTTAGGAACAATTGCGTTTACTCTTATGGTGTAATTAATTGAATGATAGGACTGGAAGTGACCTTGAGGGACCTCATCTAGTCCAGTCCCCTGAATTCATGGCAGGCTTAAGTATTACATAGACCATCTTTGATAGGTGTTTGTCTATCCTGCTTTTAAAAATCTCTAGTGATGGATATCCACAACCTCCCATGGGCAATGCCCATGTGTTCAGGACTTAAGACCTCAGGAATTTGTGTGTGTTGTTTGGAGAAGTATCTGGAAATTCCAAAAAACAGAACAGTAGGTATGTTCACCTTGTGCTTGCTTGAAAATGTTAACTAAATAGTTCAGATCATTTTGGAATTACAAATTTTTGCTTGAATATGCAGAGGAAAGTTGTCTTGGTATTTTGCCTGCCTTCCTCAAACAAGATACTGCATGTAGCAGTGTGCTCACAAAATAGCAATCACATTGAAGGATTGTGGAAAGTCATCAGCTGTAGTCAGTTGTGTATCTGTACTTGTGAATTGGACTTTAAACATATCAAAGGAACTTACTCATATTGAACAGAAGTCCTTTTTAGAAATTCTCTGGTTAACTTACGCTTTCTATTTGTTCTTCTGACTGTTATCATTGAGGCATAATTACAGGGGCAAATATAATTATGAATAAACAAAAAACTAACTCACCCCATCACCTGAAGCTCTCAGAGCTTACAAAAGCTTTTAATTTTGTAACATACTCTGGACATTGACATACTCTTTATGGTTATGTAATTTAAATAGCTCACCAATTATTCTT